GGGCTTTCTCTGAATTATAAAGTTCAGGAGGCTTTTTTTTGTATAATTTTACCCTTCGCAAACTGAGTAATGTATTATGCCGTTGTATTATGATCCATTTCAGCTATTAGAAGGCAGATTGTTTTTTTATGTATAGGTACAGCTGGTTTTGCTTCCGGATCCCATCAACTCTTGGATGATGACGAAATAAAGTGGAGCTATTCAATTTGCCGTATGCTTGAAATAATTTCTGTACTGGCAATATTATGTTGTGTGTTTATGCATTTTGTTCATCCTTAATATGTGGGAAGAAGGGGGTTAGAGATTGTAGTCATTGTATATTAAACCTCACAATTGTGGTGTTTTATTTTTGTTTTATCGTTTTTTGTTTGGGATAATCATGTTGAATAAATATTTTCATGTGTACTGTATATGGAAGTTTAGGTAGGGCTTTCATATTTTTTTCTTCGGAGTAGAGATGCTTTTACGCTGATATACTTTTTATATTGTTTCAGTGACCTTTTGTTGAAGGATGAACGTACGGGGTTTGAGGATAAAATGTTATCGCTTATGGTGTTTTGGGCTGCGATACGGTGCATTATATGTTCTCTTGTGATCTACCATAACATGTTTGTCCTCACATGCAATTGCGTTATTTGTACCATTCATAGGTGGGTAGAAGATTAGTATGAGAATTTTGTCTGCCACCCTCAATTCCATAGGGTTGGTTTTGATAGGATTCTCATTTCTCAATCTCTATCAAAACTTCTGAGTACAATTAAGTGACAGAGATCTTTGGGTGCAGCAAAATTTAATGTTTCTTGCACCAAAACACAAAGGTAGAGGTATTTGTAATAGGTTAAAAAAAATAATAGCGATTCGGTTGATTTAGTAACAATGTTAACTACTAGAGCAAATTGATACTATATTTGAGGGCACGCTTTCTAAGAGAACCGACGAGACGAAATGCCCGCGGTTGCCTTGCGATGCACACTGTACGAAGGCAAAATGGAGATTTTGAAGTATTGATTATATCTGCTCAATTATACTGAGATTTCTTGCAAATTAGCCCTCCACATAGCATATGTAAAGAACAGAGATGTTTTCCCCTCAAATATGGATGTCAGTCCCTCAATTTTTTGAGATTACTCTTATTCGCCTCAAATCCTAAGAGGTTAGGGGCTGCTTAGAGCATCTCCAATTACTCGGCAAAATCTCCATACCTCTAAATTTGGAGAGTCAATCCTCTCCGATCACTAAAGCTAGAATTTGGAGAGGCTCTCCAAACCACTATTCAAACTTTCATTATTTACAACTTTGTCATTTTTAATTATTTAATTTCTTGAAAATTACCACTTTGTCATCATTCTTATTAATTTAAAGTAGATGTTTAATTTCAAATAAATGTAGTTAAAAATTATTAATCTAATTTTCGAAATAATTATATATTTGAAACGGTCTCGCCGAGATCTTCAAAATGAAACTAATATTAATATATTTTAGTATTATAATATTTTTTTAAAAATTAAATAAATAAGTATCAGACATGAAAATTTAAATACGGGGATCTATTTAACTTGCCACATAAGAAAATACAAGCATAAATTATAATATTTAAATTACATTCCTTCGTTGTCGTGCCTCTGTCATAAATGTTCAATTAGCACGTTCCGAAGCATAAAATGAGCTTCCCTATCTTGAATCTTCCTATGTCGATGAAGGAATCGTTGGAATCATTCAGCATCATCAATCTCCATCTCTTCAGGTCTTGAAGATTAGTTGTGAACAATAATCTCTGGTTCCGCATCGCATTCATCCTCCACAGTCATGTTATGTAGTATAATACAAGTAGTCATTATGTCGTGTAGTCCCCGCTTGTCACAAGAACGTGATAGTCCCGTGATAATGAAAAATCGTGACTGAAGAACACCAAAAGCCCGCTCTATATCTTTTCGATATCCTTCTCGCATAGCAGCAAAGAGCTGCCTCTTAGGCCCTTGTGGTTGGGATATTGTTTGTACAAGAGTAGACCATTTGTAGTATAATACAAGCAGTCATTATGTCGTGTAGTCTCCGCTTGTCCCAAAAACGTGATGGTCCCTTGATAATGGCAAATCGTGACTGAAGAACACCAAAAGCCCGCTCTACATCTTTTCGATATCCTTCTCGCATAGCAGCAAAGAGCTGCCTCTTAGGCCCTTGTGGTTGGGATATTGTTTGTACAAGAGTAGACCATTTTGGGTATATCCCATCGGCCAAGTGATAACTTGTATCATAATTCTTTCCTAAAATACTATAATTAGCAGGAGGGGAAATACCTTGTACTAGTTGGTCAAACAAACTTGAAGATTTCAGTACGTTAATATCATTGTTAGATCCTGGTAATCCAAAAAAAAAACATCCCATATCCATAAGTCATATGAGGCTACTGACTCGAGCATCATTGTTGGGCCTCCATGACGTCCCGAGTACTGTTCCGCCCAAGCTGTTGGACAATTTTCCCAATTCCATTGCATGCAATCTAAACTACCCAACATTCCCAAAAATCCACGCTCTTCGCCTTTCCTTAGCAACTGTGCAATGTCACCCGCAGTGGGATACCTCAAATATTCATTTCCGAACACCTCTATAATTGCCCGACAAAACCTCTTCAAGCATTGGCTTAAGGTTGACTCACCAATCCTAATATATTTGTTGATACTATCCGCCAAAGTTCCGTACGCCAACATGAGGTGCGCTGCTATTACTTTTTGTAAAGTCGATAATCCTAATACACCAAGACTATCTCTCTTCTGCACAAAGTAGTTGGCGTGCTCTTTTACTCCGTTGACAATGCGAAGGAATAGATCTCGTCGACATCGAAACCTTCCGCGAAAAAGAGCATCCCCATATGTGGGTTTCTCAGAAAAATAATCGCGCCAAAGTCGAGAGTTACCTTCTTCTCTTCCACGATTGATCACCACATGACCGGGAATCGATCCTTTACGTTTTCGTTCTATGCTCTCTTGAAGATGACGAGCCAATATTTCCTTCAAGACTTCATCTCGCTCCTCCTGCTCAGCCAGTTCATTCTCCTAGTCTTGAAAGCAAAGATCGAGGGTATCTCCATCGGAGGAAGAAGAAGAGTGGTTCCAAGACGGCCCCTTCTCTAAAGCTCATATTTTATTGTATGGAGAGAAAAGAGTTGGGAAATATTGAGTTTTGCATTTAGAGTTCATATTAATAAAGAGTTGTGAAAGATCCATGTTCGATCGTGTCAATATCGAGTCCCATATTTGTCTTCTTGCAATCACCAGATTCCCACCATCACCTCTTGTTGGGTGATGTTTCCAAGATCCCTTTCCGGTCGTGTCAATATCGAGTCCCGTGTTTGTCTTCTTGCAATCACCATATTTCCCACCATCACCTCTTGTTGGGAGACTTATATTATAAATAATGGTAGCTCTTATCTCATATGGTCACACTTCCATCCTTTCTTTCTTATTTATTTAGACAACTACTTTTTGTCCACCAATCTTTCTTCATCCACTATGACATCTGTTCGAGGAAAATCATTCATTAACCAAGAATATCAGTTCTTATGCTTGGCATGGTTTAAAATTTCTCAAGACCCAGTCTCAGGCACATGTCAAAAGAAAGATAAGATGTGGGAAAGGATCATAGCAGTATTCCATAAAAAGGTAGGTGATAGACAACGGGCACCAAGGTCTCTGGAATGTCGTATGGACATAATTAAGATGGCAGCAAATAAATTTTGGGGTTGTGTTCGACAAATCGAGTGACTGAATCCAAGCAGAGCTTCTGAACTCGATATAGTAAGTATATAATTTTACTATGGATTTTATAATATCATTTTCAACTATCTAATATTTTTTTGTTTGTAATTTTGTTAGTTGACTCAAACTAGAATCATGTACGGAGAAGATGTTAAAGAAAGGAAAGGATTTCAGTTCGATCATGTTTGGACAATCCTCAAGGATGCCGAGAAATAGGCTGACCCTAAATCCAATCATGCAGCTGGGAGCATCTCTGAAGGATCAGAGTCGAACACGCAAAGTCGGCCTAATGCAGCAGAGGACGTTATGGATCTCAACACGAAGAGTGAAAGTTTTATGAACATGAGTGATGGCCAGTCTCCCACGAGACAACCTAGTAAGTCGGCCTGTTGGAAGAAAGAAGGAGAAGGCAAAGAGAAAAAAGACGACGGAGTTTAGTTCTGAGGAGGGAATTATTAAGAGTATGCAAGAGATGGATGCTAAACGTGAAATGAGCAGGGAAAAAAATAAAGTGATTGATGATAATGAAACTTAAAAATGAAAAAATAAAATTAGAATTGCGAGCTAGAGAAGTAGAACAACGTGACTAACAATTAGCTCTTCAGTGTGAAAGCGAGGATAGACAAATTATGTTGATTGATCTAAGTAAGATCGTCGATCAAAGTGAATGTTAGTTTTAAAATTGAAGGAGACAGGAATTCTGAGGCGTGAAACACTTTCCTTAAAGAAATATTTGCCCCCACTTGATATTCAAAGTTGCTTCGGGCAAATACAAATTTTCTTCCCAGGATACAACAGAAAATAAAAATTCCAGTAAGCAAATCTGGAATTTTCCTTAATTCATTGTGGGCTAAATACCCATATTGGTATTTTAATTCAACCTCATTTGCCAAGAAGGTATTTTAAATAAAAAAATCGGCGTTAGGGCATTTTAATTGATTAAAATTACCAATTAGGTTCTTTTTCTCGTCGGCGACCACTTTTCCGGCGAGAACTCGTCACGTGCGTGACACGTGATGACTTAATCTGTATAAATACCCATATTGGTATTTTAATTCAACTCAATTTTCTAAGAAGGTATTTTAAATAAAAAATCGACGTTAAGACATTTTAATTGATTAAAATTACCAATTAGGTCTTTTTGCTCGTCGCCGACCACTTTTCCGGCGAGAACTGGTCACGTGCATTTTAATTCAACCGGTTTTCTAACATGGCAGTGGCAGGAAGAATAAGAGTCGATGCATTTTAAAATCTCCTATTTCTAAAATTGGTAAAAAAATTAGCGAAAAATTAGTGGAGAAATTACCGTATAAATAGAACCTTTCTCTTGCATCGATCCATGGCCGCGCCGGCGGCAATCTAGTCTGCAGTGATCTTCGTCTTCTCACTCCGCGCCGGCGGCAATCTAGTCTGCAGTGATCTTCGTCTTCTCACTCTCTTCTCTCCGAATTCCCATGATGTTTTCTTCTAGAAGTTCCTGGAATCGGGGGTTTTGGCTGCTTCTGTTAGCGGTAAAGGTAAGATAATTGAGTTGGATCCGAGATCTGGAGTGCATGCGTTGAAGTTTGATCTTTGTTTTGAAATTTTTAGGGTTCAGGTTGGTTCGTTTTGGACTTAAATTGTGATTAATCTTCCTGCCACTACCACGTCAGAAAACCGGTTGAATTAAAATGCACGTGACCAGTTCTCGCCAGAAAAGTGGTCGCCGACAAGCAAAAAGACCTAATTAGTAATTTTAATCAATTAAAATATCTTAACGCCGATTTTTTATTTAAAATACCTTCTTGGCAAATGGGGTTGAATTAAAATACCAATATGGGTATTTATACAGATTAAGTCATCACGTGCCACGCACGTGACGAGTTCTCGTCGGAAAAGTGGTCGCCGACGAGAAAAAGAACCTAATTGGTAATTTTAATCAATTAAAATGCCTTAACGCCGATTTTTTTATTTAAAATACCTTCTTGACAAATGTGGTTGAATTAAAATACCAATATGGGTATTTAGCCATTCATTGTGAAACAAGTTTGTAATATTACAGAAGTTTTTGATCGAAAAGATTCAGAAAAGAAAACTATAAATAGATATCTGAAAACATAAACTATTTATAGGTTTTGAAAAGGTATGAAAAGCATAAACTATTTATTTTTTTGAAAAGGTCCTTCCAACAGTCACAACTTTTCAAAACACCCCTTGGAGCAAACAGTCACTTTTCAACAGTCACTTGTCTTTTCATAATTTTTTTTAAAAATTCAAAATAACATTTAAAAAAAATATATTCAATATATAAAAAACATTTTAATAGTATTATATTTAAAAATAATCTGCAATATGTACAAAATGAGATAAGTATACATATGTAGAGGTATCTTTCGATTTAAACCTTTACTTAGTACAAATACCTCAAAGTTCTATCAAAGTCGTTAGTTGCCTTAACATTAAACTAATTACTCTTTGTGATAGAACCGGAGAATATTGTACATACACTAATCTCTTGTTTCAATGAGAATTAATATTTTAGCACTGTTATGGCCTTGTGCTTATTCCTGGTTCATGAACTCTTTAAAGAACAAACCTTTAGTTCTTTTAAGAAGCGGCACCACTTCTAAGTTCATATAGGTGAAACGTCTACAATGTGTTTTCCATTACTTTAAACACACAACAATAATATATTAGACTTTCATTAAGAGCATAACTCATCCTCTTATTCCGTAATGGACGATATTGACATTATCTTTTAGGGCTTAATGCGTCAATATCAATCAATCACTTTCAGAAACTTGTTATTACCCATTTAAACCATTTAACCAGTTTAGTTCTAGAAATGGTTGGGTTACCATTCCTGGTGATTTTTAAATATAAGGTTTCAGCCCCATTTCACTTGATGTCATCTTTACTACCTCTCTTGCTAGAGGTTTTGTAAATGGATCAGCCAAATTTTTATTTGTCTTGACATAGACAATAGTTATGACACTATCTTGTATCAAGTGTCTCGCATATTCATGTCTTAGACTTATGTGTCTAGACTTACCATTATATGTACAATTATAAGCCCTTGACAAAGTGGCTTGACTATCACAATAGATAGAGATAGGAGGCATTGGACTCGGCCATAACTTAATATCTAGCAATAAGTTCCTAATCCATTCAGCCTCTTTACCAGTTGCTGCTAAAGCAATGAATTCAGATTCCATGGTGGAGTGTGAGATACATGTTTGTTTCTTGCTTGCCCAAGAAACTGCTCCTCCACCAAGTGTAAAAACCATTCCAGAAGTGGATTGGTTGTCTCCAACACTAGTCATCCAGCTTGCATTAGTGTATCCCTCTAATACAGCAGGGTAATCATTATATAACAAACACAGATTTTTGGTTTTTTTTAAATATCCAAAAATTCTGGAAATGCTTTTCCAATGTTCTACACTTGGATTACTAGTGTATCTACTTAATTTGCATACAGCAAATGCAATATCAGGTCTAGTACAATGCATGGCATACATTAAAGAACCAATTACACTAGCATACTCAAGCTGTGCTACAACTCTACCAGAATTGGCAGTCAATTTGACACTGGGATCGAAAGGAGTGTTAACTTCTTTAAAACCAAGATGATTAAATTTATTCACTATTTTTTCAATATAATGTGATTGGCTTAAAGAAAACCCCTCACTATGTTTTCTAACTTTAATCCCTAAAATAGTATCCGCTTCTCCTAAATCTTTCATTTTAAACATAGAAGATAGATACTCTTTTGTTTCATTTATACCAATCATATTAGTGCCAAATATTAACATGTCATCCACATACAAACAGACAAGCACACCATATTTATCAGTGAATTTAGAATAAATACACTTATCAGCACTATTATGTTTGAAACCATAAGATAGAATAACAGAATCAAACTTTTCATGCCATTGTTTTGGTGCTTGTTTAAGACCATAAAGAGATTTAATTAGTTTACATACTTTTCTTTCATTTCCTAGAAGAATGAAACCTTCCGGTTGTTCCATGTAAACCTTCTCATTTAAATCTCCATTTAAAAAAGCAATCTTGACATCCATTTGATGCACAAATAACTTATGTATAGATGCCAAAGCAATAAGAATTCTAATAGATGTTATACGTGCGACAGGTGCATATGTATCAAAATAATCTATGCCTTCTTTTTGTCTAAACCCTTTGGCTACTAATCTAGCCTTAAAAGCTTGAACAGAACCATCAGAATGATATTTTCTTCTAAAAACCCATTTACATCCTATTGGCTTTGATCCTTGAGGTAAATCTACTAAAATCCAAGTACTATTTCCCATTATAGAATCCATTTCATCATTGACAGCTTCTTTCCAAAATGAAGCATCTCTAGATGACATTGCTTCTATAAAGGTTTTAGGATCATCATCTGGATTAAAACTTATAGGATGTTTATTTAAAACATTATTATTCCTATCACCTTCAACAAGAAAAATAATTTGTTCAGGAGAAATAAAATCTGAAGGTAAAGATTTCTCTTTTCTTACTCTAGTACTTCTTCTTGGCTCTGATATTTCTTTAGATATATTCGTTTCCTTAGCATGAAAATCAGAACTAGAAAAATTATTAGAGTTAAGCAGAATAGGAACATTTTCAACATTTTCAGAATCTACAGAAAATTTATTTTCAAAGAATTCAACATCTCTAGATTCAACAATAGTATTAGAAGATAAATCAAGTAGTCTATATGCTTTGCTATTTTCAGCATATCCGACAAAAACACTTTTAAAGGCTCTAGGTCCAAGTTTTGTTCTTTTAGGATCAGGAACTCTATAATAAGCCAAACACCCCCACACTTTAAAATATGACAGATTAGGCTTTCTACCTTTCCATAACTCATAAGGGCTTATATTTGACTTTTTAGAGGGAATCCTATTATGAATATAACATGCTGTGTACAAAGCTTCTCCCCATAAATTTAAAGGTAACTTAGCATTATTAAGCATACAATTTATCATTTCTTGTAAAGTTCTATTTTTTCTTTCGGCTAAACCATTCTGTTGGGGAGTATAAGGTGCTGTACATTGATGAATAATGCCATGTTCTTCACAAAAAGTATTAAAGTTATCAGAAAAATATTCACCACCTCTATCAGAACGTAATACTTTAATTTTCCTTTCAAGTTGATTTTCAACTTCTGTTTTGTATTTTTTAAACATATCAAAAGCTTCATCTTTTGTTCTTAAAAGATAAACATACATATATCTACTGCAATCATCAACAAAAGTGATAAAGTATCTTTTTCCTCCTCTAGTTAACATACCATTCAATTCACATATATCAGAATGTATTAAATCTAAAACTTTAGAATCTTTGCGAGAAACACTTGGAAAAGATTTCTTTGTTAATTTAGACTTAGCACAAATTTCACATTTATCAAATTCACCATTAAAGTTAATGAAGTCTAACTTTCTCATATTTTTCAAATAGCGAAAATTTAAATGTGCTAAGCGATCATGCCATAAATATGAAGACTCAACAATATAAACAGAAGATATAACTTTATTATTAATACTTAGTTGATACATTCCATCACAAGAGTAGCCCTTTCCCACAAACATCCCGTTCTTAGACAGGATAACATTATTTGACTCAAAAGCAACCCGAAACCCTTTCTTACAAAGAAGATCAACAGAAACTAAGTTCTTTCTAACTTCGGGTACATACAGAACATTTATAAGAGTCAATTTCTTTCCAGAAGTAAAATCTATATCAACAGTCCCCTTTCCAGCAACCTTTGCACAAGCATTGTTCCCCATTTGCACTTCTGTAATTTCCGAAATTTCTTCAAATCCTTTGAACAATGATTTGTCCTTGCAAACGTGGATTGTTGCTCCAGAATGAAGCCACCATCCAGACTTAACAGAAGCCATATTGATTTCAGAAATCATAGCGACCAGATTCTCTTCTATCATATTTGCAGAAGACTTTGATTTTACATTATTATTTTTTCTGTGACGACATTCTTTAGCAAAATGTCCAGGCTTGCCGCAAATAAAACAGGATCCCTTTTTCTTCTAAAAATTCTTCTTTTTAAAGTGTTGTCCACTTTTCTTTACTTGAAGGTTCACATTTTTTACCAAAGATTCATTCTTTTCCACGGTGTGGACCTTACAATCACTTTCGACAGGATTTTTCGAATCACGTATGCGTGACTCCTCTTCAATTCTAAGATTCTTCTGAAGTTGTTCCAAAGAGATATCCTCAGTTTTATGCATTAGTTTCTTCGAATAATCTTTCCAAGTTGATGGTAGTTTTGCAATAATTGCAGCAACTTGAAAAGACTCTGGAAGAACTATTTTGAGAACATGAATCTTATTAACCAGAACCTCCAATTCATGAACTTGCTCTAGGACAGACTTGTCATCAACCATTTTATATTCTAGATATTTTGCAATTAAATACTTGTTTGTACCTTCCTCCTCGGCTTTGTATTTAAATTCCAGTGCGTTCCAGATCTCCCTTGCCGACTTTATCCTTGTGAAAAGATCATATAATCGGTCCGAAAGTGTGTTCAGAATGTGACTGCGACACAACACTTCATCTTCCTCCCGTTTTGCCTTCTGCTTTTTGATTTCTTCGATTTCCTCCTCAGTAGGTTGTTTGCCGTCTGCACTTGGTTTTGGATCTTCTATGGGCTGTAGGTTGGGGTTGAGGATGTAGGAGATCTTCAATGTTGTAAGAAGAAACATCATCTTGTCTTGCCAGCGAGAGAAATTGTTCCCGTCGAATCGGTCCAATTTGACCATGTCTTGATTCATCACCTTGATTGATTCCGACTCCATTGTAGCAGAGATATTTCTTTAAGATTGTTAGTTTTAAAATTGAAGGAGACAGGAATTCTGAGGCGTGAAACACTTTCCTTAAAGAAGTATTTGCCCCCACTTGATATTCAAAGTTGCTTCGGGTTAATGCAAATTTTCTTCCCAGGATACAACATAAAATGAAAATTCCAATAAGCAAATCTGGAATTTTCCTTAATTCGTTGTGAAACAAGTTTGTAATATTGCAGAAGTTTTTGATCAAAAAGATTCAGAAAAGAAAATTATAAATAGATATCTGAAAACATAAACTATTTATAGGTTTTGAAAAGGTGCTTCCAACAGTCACAATTTTTCAAAACACCCCTTGGAGCAAACAGCCACTTTTCAACAGTTACTTGTCTTTTCATAATTTTTTTTAAAATTCAAAATGACATTTTAAAAAAATATATTCAATATATATAAAAAATAGAACATTTAAGCGGTAGCGGCAAGTGTGCAAAGTGCTAAGTGCGTCTAATAATCGCTTCAAAATCACGCATTATTCGCGCTACCCGCACGCGGGTTTAGAAGCCTATACTTTGATCCATTATTCAAAGCCCAATAAGCATTCAATGATTTTAAACCTCTAAAAAAATGTTCAAAATTCCAATGTGGGACTATCTTGTTTTTTACAAACAAATACTAACAGTGAACGTGCTTACTATCAACAAAAAAAGCAAGAAATTATTAATAGAAAGGATTATAGAGCCCCATCATTCGACTATGGATTTTCCTTCGGAGGGCCAAGAGGATTTTCTGAGCTTCTTAGAGGAGCTGTAGGAGGAGAAAACAAATATGGATTTCCCTCTAGAGATCAAGGAGGATTTTCTCAGTTTACGGGAGAAGCTGGTTCTGTAGGAAGAAATGAATATGGGGATTCATCGAGAGATCAGGATGGAACTGGTAGTTATAACGATAATGACCTGCCGGAATTTTATTTGTCTGTTATCATATTTTATGTTTGAGGTTTATGTTTGTGACCAATGGTATGTTGTATTAGAGGTTTATGTTTGCTTCCTTGTTCTATCGATGTATGCTTTGTCATTGTTATTTCAGATTTTATTTTTTTTAATATGTTGTATTGTATTATTAATATTGGGTTCATTTTAAAGCTATCGTCAACACCTTTCTAATGTTATTATTTTTTTCCAAATAAATTATTAAAAATAAAAGTATTAATGTTAACTATATCCAACATTATTAATTTATATGACTTTTTGTCACGCCCCGCTTCCCAAAATACCTGGGAATCGGAACGTGAACAAGCCCGCGACGTATTAAACTGAGAAGAGATAAGTGCTAGACCCAGTCTTCTCAATCTAATACGCTAAGCGTCAAGAAATACAAACGAAGGCACAGGTCCCCGATCACAGTAGCGAGAATATAATAAACAACACAGACAGAAAATATACATATCACAACTGAAATAACATCCGATACACAAAGTTTGGGTCAAACATGCCCTTATTACAAAACAGTACAACTAAAATAGGAAAATACATAGTCCGACAAAATAAGAAGGAAGTACTGCAAAATAACTAAGTCCATCGAAAGACTAAAGGGTAAGGTACTACATAAGTAATCTAGTGTCCATCAGTGATTACGTAAAAGAAAAGGTTAAGCTTCCGTCTGTTCTTCTGTTCCACCTGGAAGACACTCCGGCTGGGCATACTCCTGCTCTAATGCATCATCATACTGGACCTGTCCGTCCTCTAAATCTGACGTACACCAGAGAAAACAGGTGTACGTCAGCGTACATAACGTACGGCAAGATCCCACAAGGAAAGTAGAAACGGTCGAACAACCAATGCAAGAACAATAATAATAATAATAGTAATAATCTAAATGAAATCCACCACCATAATATAATAATCAGAAGAATCATAAATCGATCGGGTAACGAGGTCCTGCAGCTAGCAATCAAACTAATCATCCAAGTAACGAGGTCATACTACTAGCCATTGTATAACAGGTCACTGGTCACATCTCACACAGAG